AAGTAACTTCTAGTAAACTGAGGAAACAGCCTCACTAGAGAGCAGAAGAATTAAAAACAGGTTTTTGATGGCTACATGAAAAGAAATACAGATTTTCTTTCTTGCCTTGATTCATTCAATTTAAAGGTACAGAACAGAGTTCAGCTTCCACTGTCTTAGATATTTGGTCTTGCTCTTCTCAAAGATCTCCAAGTGCAAACTGAAATACAATGATCCTATTTACTCAGCCATCTCACCCTTTATCTATTTGCTTCCAGTGTATTTTGAGAAAATGAATAATATGTTTCCCATTTTGCCCTCTTAGGCCTCATTTTTGCTATTAAAAACTTTCCTAGCCAGATGTGGTGGCATGCCTGTGATCCCAGCTACTCGGGAGGCTAAGGTGAGAGGATCACCTAAGCCCAAGAGTTTGAGGCTCAGAGAGCCGTGATCAGGCCACTGTTACTCAGCCTTGGCAGTGAAGACCCTGTCTCAAAAAACAAAAAAAAAAAAAGTTCCCATAATTAAAGAAGAAATTTCTTATGAGCAAGAATGTGATGGCCCATCGAGCAAGATAATATTAAAGTAAAAAGAAGTAAATGACTGCACCACTGCACTCCAGCCCTGGGTGAAGATTGAGAGCGCGTGTCTCTAAAAAGAAAGCAAGAAGTAAAAAATAAGGTGAACTAATGACTTGAAATCATCTGGGATGGGATGAAAAGAGAAAATCGTTCCACATTCCTCCACCCTCCATTAACTCAGTGCTTCCTCCCCTTCCTGCTTACCCCTGTCCCTAAAGATTCTTTCCTTCTCCTTAACCCTGTTCCCTAGGAGATGCTACCTGAACCTGTGGTGACAGAGGAAGGGTCAGGTTCTGCCTGTGAGAGATCCCAGAGATGTGGGAGCGAGGCAAAGGTCTCTCTTCTTATCCCAACTTCATGCCTAAAACCGATGTGTGTACACTGAAAGAAAAATGATAAATATACGTGGTTATTTAATATTGCTGTCATAGAAATAAAGCAGTCTTTCTATAAGCATCAGGAAATCCCTAGAATAACAGAATGACTGAAAGTGGGAGGGCTAGAGGTGGTTTGTGTGAGGATACATGAGAATGTTTTAACAACTAAAAAATAACAACAATTTCCTTGACCAGAAAGTTCCCATGTCTGGAAGCTAGGAGGTGACTCTGAGAGGTCACAACAGGACTGAGAGTCGTGGTCGTTACAAACCTAAGAAATAACGGTTTAGTGCACGGCAAAAACAAACAAAAAATTCCGACCAAATAACTAATGCAGACGCTAAAGATAATATTGAATAACCTTCAAACACAAAGACCGAAACACCACCATAGAATTTATTTTTGCTTATAACAAATGTGGCTTACAATTATTTTTCAAGTAAAAAGGGTTTTTTTTTTCATTAAGAATAAAAATTAAAATATAACTCTGATATAGATTTCATTTATTTACATGAAAACTATATACAGAATACAACCTTACAGCAAACCAAAAGCATGCCCTTCGTCCTGCAAATTTCAAAAGTAACGACGCCAATTTTTCCCTTTTATGCACCAAAAACAATACACAAGATAGGAATCCAATTTCAATACAAACTATTCAAACTAGAATGCAAAACAGTGAAAGGGCTTTCAACATTCACGACGAGGGAGTTGATGTTTCCAGAGATCATGCTGGCTCCTGTTTCGAGCAAGTGAGATGAATTATTTTCCTGTCATTTAAAAAAAATTGCCTCAAAATTTTTCATCTAAGGTGATTTTTTTTAGCCAACGATTGTCCTAGAAGTTTCCCTTTTTTCGTCAGCACATCTCTTCAGCCACACTCAGCCCACAAAAAAAGCACCTGCTCTGCCTTGGTTAGGCAGCACCGACCTTCATACTCACCAGGCCAAATTCCCATTACTTGGTGCCAACCATACAGAAAGTTACCAGCCCCTTCCTCAAACAATAATGGAATCGTTTGAGTTGTTATTTATCATTGAAACTAGAGAGGTTTTCAAACAAAATTCAAGGCAGTACTCTATGTCAGAAATTTATAACTTTCAGGTAAATCATGGGTCAAAAGTAGCACAATTTGATTTTATCATAGTATGTTTGGGGTATCTGTCAAAACATTCTAGTGATAAGAGCTATAAGAACTGGTCAACTTAAGAATTCAACCACGTGAAAGGGACTAATTTCCAAAAGACTCTTAAACAGAAAAGGGCAATAAACAAAAGAATTATTGAATTATAATAGTTGCCAATACAGATTTCCTTTGCTATTTAATTATTGTACCAACGAGATATGAGCAGTATGGATATCTCGCTAACAATTTCTTCCTTAAACTACAGGTTTCTTAATTGACTATGTTTCCTTTCAAATAATTGCACATGTGATCATAGCTTTCTAAAGACAGAAGAGAGAGGAAGTGGAGCCTTGATTCGCCATCTTAATCCAAAAGCAGCAAAGATGCTCAAACCACAACAAAGATTTTTAACACTACTGTTTTTTTTTTAGTTCTATATACAGAAATAAATATAAATGGGTGTTCTATAAAATAAGTATGAAAACCCCTAGTGCTTCTAAAACTAAGCGGGGACAGCTCTTAGAAAGGGGTGTTTGGCATAAGATAGAGGGCAAATCTCAGAACTTGCCGAATACAACACTCAAAATTCTGTGAGATAAATTCGACACCCATCTTCAAAGGGCTGATCAAAATCAACCTCCTACAGAGGGCAGTAAAGGTCGCAGGGGCAGTGTTCAAGGCGTGGATCATTTTAACGTACTGAGGAACAAACCAAAACAAACACAGGAAATAATCTTTTGAATCTGATCAAATAAGGTAGGAGAACCCAGAAGCCGTGCAGCTCAAATACTGTGTCTGACCCAAACTTGGATCAAATGACTCTAATTTTGAAAGTGATGGATGAGTCCCCCACACTGTGAAGCTCTGTGGTGAAGTTCACTGTCTTTTGCTTTTGTTTTGAAAGGCGAAGAAGTTCTGTAATGCCAGTAGTACCCTGTTCTTTTTCTAGGTTGTTAGGTTTGTGTTTTTGAGGACAGGATATTTTTTCAACATAGTACAAATGCAGTCAAGAAGTGAAGAGCTGAAACAAACTCCGTGAGTTTATGGTGAGACTGAGCAATGGGCTGTCGTGGTTCAAGTTGAGGTGACGTCTCTTTCTCAGGGTTTTCAAACAGCGCAGACTGCAGGGTCCGCCGGGCCAGTTCCAGGAAGTTCCAAGTGGTGTGATGCCCACAGGACGTGGGCGCACTAAGGAGAGGACTTTGGTCCCAAAGGATCATCAGAGAGAGATGGAGAAGAAACGGTACCATCAAGGGAAGGAATGCGGGGCATCACTTCTTGGTGTTTAGACCATGATACTGTTGGCCTAGGGGCTATGGTGGCATCGGGGCACACATGTCAAATCCACTTTTTCTGCCAAAAGCAACAAGGACACACACAGAAAAATGCTCCATGAAATTGGCCCTATCTTTAAGACAGACGCTGGTGAGAGGTGAATCCTACAGAGCAATGAAAACACATTACAATTCTGTAATTGCTGCTGATGTGAAGTCCACCCGTCACGACGGAAATCCCCGGAGAATCCAAGCTCAGAAGGACACTGGCAACAGCTGGAGGAAAAGCACCTCCTTGGTCCTAAAATCTTTCTGGGCTCTCCTCAAGGACCGGAGAGATGGCATAGAGACAACTTTCATGGTGACGCCAGGCCGCGCCCTCTTGTGCAGTGGTCACAGCCATCTCCTCCCTGGCACGCGCACACAGAGTGCTCACCCATGGTGACCGCGACTGCACAGAGAAACACTGAAGTTAAACTGTCAGGGTGAAGGATATGGACAGTCCTGGGCACTTGGCCTCATGGGAAGCAAACACTTTCCCCTGTGACAGTGGCCGTATCCTTCCTGGGCTCCTGGCGGGCCACAAACTCCAGCTCCCTGGGTGGGCTCCAGAGAGCTCCCGGAGGATCTCCTCCCGCCAAGGCAGCACCTCCTCCTCCGTGCCACCACTGAAGAGGGAGACAGAAGGTGACATTCGTGCTGCAAGTCCTTGTTCTGTTGCGGCCACCACATTCCCTCATCCTCGTCTCAAACACAACAGAAACAGCTCAGCTTGAAAAGGCCACAGTGAAGGATCATCAAGGAGTCAGCGCGGGGAAAATGCCAAAGATCTGGAAATGGATGCCCTTTCCAATCGTTTGACAGTTTCACTCCACGAGACTTGAGCGTTTAAGGCCAAAAGCACGTGGCTGAGAAGGCAGGGGTGGAAAACCGCGGAAAGGTCAAAACTGGAGCTTAAAGGAGAGATGCCCAGGGCAAGCCAGCCACGGATCCCAGAGACATTTCTGTCGGGGCACAAGTGACACACTCCTCCCATCTGAGGTCCCCGGGCAGATGCATCAGCCAAACTCTAAAACTTGATTCTAGAAAGCGACTGCAGGGGAGACCAAAACGCCTCATCCATAAAATATGTGTTTTCCATTCTCCTCTGTAACCATTAGAGTGTTAAGAAGGGTGAGCTTGAGCAATCACAGTTTCCAAAATCCCACCAAGAATCGTATCTGGAAATGTCACAGAAATGCAAGCAGCTCGTCAGCCCACCGCAGAATTTTACTGGAACTGTGGACACTCTGGTCCAAGGGACAAGCTCAAGGTAGTTATGGTGAAAAAGCAGGAAGGGTGTGAAGCCTCTGCTTCCAGTGTCTGCTCAGAACTGTGGCAGGGTTTGGTTTCCTTGCATAAGTTTAAAAAGGCATCTTGGCAGCCACCACAGACGAACACTGTAGTCCACTGGGTCTGAGTGGAGATACGGAGTCACTCATGAGGATATGGAGATGGCTTCTGGTCCAAGAGGCCAGCCAACTCTTGCAGCCACAGCTTTGTCTGTACGTGACCTGGCGGATTTAACACAACTGCCCAAGAAATTCCACAAGCAAACTCAAAGCCAGAAAGAGCTGCAGGAATGGCAGGGTCAGAACTGGGACCAGACCCTTCTTTTTCTTTCTTTTTCTCATTTTTGGCCAATCTGGATCTTTCTTTCCAGCATGAGCGGGATGAACGCCAGCAGGAGATAGTGTGCTCACCACTGCACCCTCAGTGTCCACACCTGTCGCTTCACAGGAACTGAGGTCCAGAGTGATAAGAAGTCACCCAAGATCTTAGAGTTAGTTCTCAGCAAAACCAGGGTGCCAAGTGGCTGCCTCCAGATTCAGGGCTCATGCTGCACTGTCCCTGGTGCATATGCAGCCAGCTGGGGTAGAACGAGACAGAAGGGACCCTCAGAGGGACTCCTGCTTAGTGACCTGCTGCAGTGATACTTCTAAGCGGATGTAGCTGGTTCATGAAACGCTTCCCCCACATCTCTTTACCTTCCTGCTCTCTGAAACTAAGCTTTTCCTTTGATATATAATCCAACATTTGCCTAAAAGTCTCACTCCCTGATCCAGCTACAATTAAACTACAACACTGGAGATAGTTGAGGTCTAGAAAAGACTGGGTAGAGTGTGTCTCTACAGATATCCTAGACTTCAATCAAAAACCATCCAGTTGGGCCGGGGCGTGGTGGCTCACACCTGCAATCCCAGCATGTTGGGAGGCCAAGGCGGGCAGATCATTTGAGATCGGGAGTTCAAGACCAGCCTGACCAACATGGTGAAACCCTGTCTCTACTAAAAATATAAAAATTAGCTGGGCATGGTGGTGGGCACCTGCAATCCCAGCTACTTGGGAGGCTGAGGCAGGAGAATCACTTGAACCCGGGAGACAGAGGTTGCAGTAAGCTGAGATCGTGCCACTGCATTCCAGCCTGGGTGACAGAGCGACTCTGTGTCTCAGAAAACACAACAAAACCAACCAACCAACCATCCAGTTGCACGGAGATGCCTGCAGGCCTTCCTTCACTCCCCGTATTCCTAAAAGGCACCTCGAACAGAGGACAGAGCTTTAGCATATCTTTTTATAAGGACGTCGCTGCCAGCTGCACGGCAGAAAGGAGCTGCCACCAAGATGAAACCGCAGGTGCCACTCAACCAGGGTCACACGCCTATCCACAGGAAACTGCATGTATAAATGTGCCCGTGTGATTACAGGAAACACGACAGCACGGGGTGAGGTTTCTTCCTTGGCGACATTCTTCTTTTACAAAGAATGCAGGCCTCACTTTAGGAAACCCTGCTCCAAGGGAGCTGCCGGTTTGGGGCGGGAGAAAGGCAAAATGTGGGCGAACCAAGAAGCTGGCCCACGTCCGGCAGGGTCTGACGCGTGACTTTAACTGGCACTCCCCAGAAGCCACTGCTGCTGTGCTTCGCTGCGCTTTGCAAACACAGAAACAGCTCACACGCCAGCAGAGGCAGGAGATCCTGGGCTTCTGGTTTTCTGGTGATACTTAGTGTCTGTACCATTTAACATATCCTGGAAAATCAAAGTTTCAGTCCTGGAAACCTTTACCAACACTGCATCCCACATCACGGGCCACCTCCCGAGGGCCGACTCAGTTGGCGTACTGGGCGTAGAAAGCCACTTTGACTCTCTCGATCTGGTGGCATAACTTGATGGCGGGCCCCAGCTTCAGCTCCATGCACTCCTGCACCGTCGGAAGGGTCAGAAGCAGGAGTGCTTGGCCGTCAATGTCCTGCAGAAAAAGACAGGCAGGTTAGAGACGGGGCAGTGTGCACCCGGGTACGCAGATGCATCACGGCAGGCTCCATCCCGGGGCCAAACCTGACAAGAGGATGCTCTTGTTTCATTCAATTCAGGGGATTGTTGGTAGAGATACCAACCCAGCTGGATGCCTGTTTAATCTTTGTGTTACTAAAATCTTTTTGCAGCTAGGCACAGTGGCTCACACCTATAATTCCAGCACTTTGGGAGGCTGAGGCTGGAGGATCGCTTGAGACCAGGAGTTTGAGACAAGCCTGGGTAATCCAGTGAGATATGGTCTCTACAAAAAATTTAAAAATTAGCTGGGCAGGGTGGTGCAAACCTGTGATGCCAACTACTCAGAGGCCGAGGGGGGAGGATCACCTGAGCCCAGGAGTTTGAGGTTGCAGTGAGCTGTGATCACACCGCTGCCCTCCAGCCTGGGCAACATAGCAGGAGCCTCTCTAAACAACAACAACAACAACAACACAAAACCAACAATACAAATACAAGAGCTTTTGGCTAAGGGCATTCTAGCTACTCTGAAATTCACATACCTACTGTGTTGGGTAGAAAGAGCTGGAACAGGAGGGTTGCTGCAGGAATTGCTTCCCAAGCTTATTGCCCCTTGCTGGGAGGGCAACTCACCCTCCACCCCAGGCAAGGCCAGGTCCTCCCTGAGCTATGCTGAGACTTCATCTGAGCGCTAAGCAAAGGAATCTCTACCAAAAGACAAGGCTCCCTCACCTCCCTGCCAAGGTCTGGCATTTCACCATCAGGATGGGTGAGAAGACGCTCAAGACAGATATGCCAATGACAGCACAGTTTTCCATATAGGAAAATACACACACACATACACACACACACACACACACACTATTTACAGACACACACTGCCCAGAGCGAAGTGTTGCTTGTACACAGATCTGTTGCCCCACTGTGTCCTGCTCAGCCTTTCTCTACCTACACACAGGGCAGGAAGACACTCATTCAATGAATGTTCAGTTGAATTTGCTACAGGAGGAAGCATCCAGAGACCCACTCCAAAGCTCTAAGACCTTTCCACTGGACATCTCTGTCTCTTCAGCAGCTTGCTTCATATAGTAATCTGGTTCATTCACACAGATGTCATTTGACTGGACTTCTGTGTTTAACCACAATCCTCCTTCCTGTTTATCAAGACGAGCTCAATAGTCCAGAGGGAGTCACTGAGGCTCTAAGAGACTGCAGGCCCCGGGCAATGATGAAGATCAGTGGTACCATGAGAGCATTAAGTGAGCTCCACAAACTGGAATTTCTGCCACTTGCAGAAGAATTACGCCCAGGGCTGCCATAAGCCACAAGGACATTAATAGCCAAGCAAAAGCGTAAGATCATACGTCTCCAACAACACCTGTCGGTGACTTTCGCACAGGCGGCTTATTTTCTTAAACTAATGGTTTATTTAGCTGTCTTGAAAATGTCTAAAGCAAAAAGTCAAAGTGTGTATAAATGGTAGCCTTGAGCAGACTAATCTTCTAAGCAAGCGTAATTCATCATCTGATCAGATTCAAAAGACTAATGTTAAGAGCAGGAATAATTTATCTTCTGATCAGATTCAAAAGCAACAATATTCCCTAATAAGTATTGCAGCAATAAAAATGAAACATTAACTTTAAAAGTATCAATGTGAGTGTCATTTTTTATTTTTAAATTACAGATGAGCGCTAGCTACGATGTAAGCAACGTGAAGCCACGCTCAACCAAGACTCAAAGGTGACCTTATCAAACCACAAAGTAAACAGATCTGTCTTGTATACATACTGAAAGCAGGAGATAAACTATAGAAAACTGTCACTATATTTTCATGCTATGTTTACATCATTTTTCCCTTTCTCTAGAGCGCTCATACATGTTATTTTACTTTCTTTTCAGATGCTACAGAAAAGGCTGATTGCAGCTGGGGGCATTTGGGAGTACTGTGAAATAGTGTTTGGCTCTAGGTCGCGAAGAAACCAAGGGGACCTCTGGCCTGGGGCCTGTAGGCCAATTCCACTTTCAGAGCCAAATCCACATATAGTACATCAAAACAGACCAAGAAGGCACAGGCGTAGGGACTCAAAGTCTTCTAGGTACCATGGGCCTCATAAAAACACATTTTAAGTAGGCAGAGGGCTGATGTTCTGTTCTGTGGATGTCATTAAACCGTGCACAGGTGGCTCAACCATTATGTTCAATGACATCCACAGAACAGGATAGAATAGAAATAGAACTTATTTTACTTTCCCAGGAAGTTTACTTTCCTGGTGAAAATTAATGCTCAGAAAAGCTAGCCAATCTAACTATGATCACACAGCAAGTTAGAGACAGTGTTGGAATGAGAACGGTAGTTTTCAGACATTAAACTTTGAAGGGAAAACTGTAGCTCAGTCTTTAACATCTGTACTTGGGCATGATGGTGATTCAATCACCACTGAATATCAGCACTAAAATATTCATGTAACTCTTTCTCTACAGAAAATTTCAGCGAAGGTGGCCGATGCATGTATCACATTTAAGTGCAGTTGTGCACACTCATTTATTTCCTTGCCAATATTTATTGAGCATCTACTAAGTGGCAGGCACTTGGCTGGCCTCTGGGGAATGTCACAGTGAACAAAGGAAAGGTCCCCTCTCTGGGCACCCCATGAATCTGAAGGATGGCAGACCAAGTCAACAGACTATTAGGATACAGGGATATTAACATACGGATGCAGAGCTAAGGGCTCAAACAGGACAGGCAACCAAGCCAGTCTTACAGGGGTGTTGAAAGGGCTTCAAACTGAGACTTCAGGGACCAATAAGAACTATTAAGGCCAAGAGGAACTGAAAGAACGAACACAGCTAGTTCCCTGGAATGTAGAATTCCAGGAAATTCCAGGAAAAAAGGTAAAATCATGACGAGCCAGAAAGCCACTTTATCTGGAAGACTATTTTTTCTTTCAAGGATTATTTAGATAACAGCATACTTCGCAGGTGGTTTAATTTTTTATAAACATGTTCCTATATAACTGAGAGCTGCTGGCAGATCACTTTTAATGTTCAACAAAGAATTCTCATAAATGGACTAATTGTAAAGAAATGAAATATGATGAGATATACGACATGCTTAGCACAGGGCAAAATTAAATCGATTTTGATAGAGCATTCAGGTGAGGATTTGGTAGTTCCTAATGGAGGTATTCAGGTCTAGAGAAGTAGAGAAGGGACAGCTTAATCTGGACTAAGCCTATAAACTATCCTGAAATTTTTTCATTAATGTCAATTGATCACTTGAGCTGTCTGCTTATTGCACTGTTTCTGACTGATGGAAGCCGAATGAATAGGTAAAATTTTATTTAGAGTTTTGTGTGTTCTTTAGTTATAGATGAGTGGATTTTTACTGTGTAATGTACAGGTTTGCAGCATTAAACTACGGAGTATAGATTTTTAAGCAGTTGCCATAACATTTCAGAAATAAAAGGCACAGATGCTGGTAATGGGGAGTTTATAATTTTTGCAAATGCTCCTGGTGATTAATAATAATCTCTGCATTTACAATGTTCAGAGCATGCGTACACATAGCAATGACCATGCTGTGCACAGGGATCTCATTCACATGCCAGTGAATAAAGTCTCTGGGTTCCTTCTAGCTCATTTAAAATCTCAGACAATGCCTGCAGTGACCTACTGGAGGCCTCATCAAATCAGAGCTGGAGTATCTGGGCTAAATGACGATGAACAAATTAGTAAAACTTAGTAATTAAAGGTCTGATGGGACAGAAGGAGACTCAAGTGCCCATGTACTTCAGACAGCCCAGTGGGCAATGACTTTCTATTCCAACAGGTGAACTTGCCTAGTGTGAAATGTGAAATTACACAGGAATGAGACGACAATAATGAAAGTCTATTTTTCTCTCTCGTAAGAGAAACAAGTAGGGATGAAGGGCAAGGCTTTTACTGATATTAGAAGAGCAACAGGACAAAACTCTGTCTCAACTAAAAATACAAAAATTAGCCAGGCATGGTGGCGGGTGCCTGTAATTCCAGCTATTCAGGAGGCAGAGGCAGGAAAATCGCTTGAACGCGGGAGGCGGAGGTTGCAGCGAGCTGAGATTGCGCCATTGCACTCCAGCCTGGGCGACAAGAGTAAAACTCCATCTCAAAAAAAAAAAAAAAAAAGCAACTTGGAGAGCAACTTGATTCTACAAGGGAGACAATGTTGGCAGTGTTCCATTTCCTACAAGGCTTAGCTTAGGGAAGGCATGAAACTTTTCTCTGGTGTTCTCAACTGGGCTTAGGAATACAAGAAAGGAAGACTCAATACTTTAGGCTTTTCCCCAAACCAGCTTTGTTTCACTTTCTTGCTTATTACTGAGAACTTGTACACAGTGTAGACAGACACAGGAGCTAGTGACGTTTCAAGGTATAAGCCCTCATACCTAACCTGGAATCTAGAAATGAGAAATCTGCTCTTCATTCAGGCCTAACTAAACTTTTTTTTTTATTGTGAAAACTAAGCATTTGAGCCTAAAAATAAAACCAAAACATTAGAGTAATACAGAATGCCACACCTCGCTATCAGAAGGCGCCTCGCAGGGACTGAATCGGTGTATGCTGAATGCACACGGAGACCGACAGATACGCATCAGCGCAACCAAACCTGCGGGATCAGCGTTTGTCATGGATTTGAATACAACGCTTTTCTCGCTGCAGCACCACTGTCAATAAATACCAGACAGGCAAAGTGTGGCACTGGGCAACACTTTGCACAGGATTTCAATCTATTGCTTTCTTTTTTGTTTCCAAGATGGAGATATGGCTTATCAATAAGCCCCCGATCACCTAAGCCCTTGCATTTCTTACAACTGTCTTTCTTTCCTGTTTGTGTGTTATTTGAAGGGACAAGCTCATCAACCAGGTTCTTTAGGTCTAAGGAGGCCTCTCCCTGGTTGCTTTTCAGAGTTGTCCAGACAGGAAGGGTGGCCAATGTCAGAAGGTCAGGAGGCAACTCTTTCTGCCTTCAATCATTCGTCTTTTTTATTTATTTATTTTTGCTTGCTTTTGAGATGGAGTCACTCTGTTGCCCATGATGGAGTGCAGTGACATGATCTCGGCTCACTGCAACCTCTGCCTCCCAGGTTCAAGCAATTCTCCTGCCTCAGTCTCCCGAGCAGCTGGGATTACAGGCGCCCAACAGCACGCCCAGCTAATTTTTGTATTTATTTATTTATTTATTTTTAAGTAGAGATGGGGTTTCACCACGTTGGCCAGGCTGGTCTCGAACTCCTGACCTCAAGTGATCCGCCTGTCTTGGCCTCCCAAAGCGTTGGGATTACAGGCATGAGCCACCATGCCCAGTCTAATCATTCTTTCAGCATGATCTTAGCGGATGTCTGCAGAAGGTTCTAGTGGTCATCAATAGGATGAACTAATTCATCTCTTGGACTTCTTGGGACACAGGGGGAAGAACTTTGAATGACAATAACTACTCTCTTTGTGGCACTGGAGACCATTGTAATTTGCTTTCTTCGGTTCATTGCTGCATGAACTTGGGCGAAAAGCTGGGAAATTTCCTGGGTGCACGGGAAGTCACAGACCTTTTATGTTCCCAGATTTAATGTTTGAAATATCCTCTTTCTAGACTACTGGTTTGTATGATCTAAAAAGAGACTGAATAAACCTATCTTTAACTTATTACATGAAAAACAGTACTTTCTTTTTCAACATGAGGTCTTTGAACACAGATATTTATACCAGGACAACGCAAGAAACTTCAACAAAGTAAGCAGAGAGCAGAGCAAGAGCCTGGAATGTTCTGCAAGGCCAGTGAGGCAAGATGCAAGGTGGTGTGTGTGCATCCTGTTTCCGTGGCAACTTGTTTCCGTATTAATTTAGGGACAATGTAAATAAAAATCCTCTCTTCTTCCTTAGGACACAGCATCATGTATCTTATGTTTTAGTTAACTATACTCATTTCATCTGCTGGGCTGCAGACTCCTTTAAAATAGAAATTCTATTGACTGTTATTGCGTTTGTCCATCACCATACCATCATCTTAAAAACATTTTATGTAGAAAGAAGTGAGGGAGGTAAGAGAACAATGACGAAAGCAGCAGTCAGTACGACACACTGGCCAGCGGGCTTCCACTTTGGGCAGGCCAGGTGGATACACTGTTTCCTCCTTCTCCCACTAGGCCTAATGGGTAAGATCCACTGGCATTATATAGAAATCCACAAACAGAAGACTCTGGAAGGTGGAGAGAGGAGGGCGGACCGGCTAGGGGCGTGGGTCCCCAGCTGACAGCATGGTGCTGAGCTCTCTGGTTGTTTTGGTTGCTGTTTGTGTGTAAGCTTCATGCACCTGAGACTTGGAGCTGAAGAAACTGCAACCCAGATTTGCCAAAAGGCACTGACAGGAGGCTCAACCAAAGCCGGCTGTCTGCAGACAAAGGCCTGGCCAAGGGGTGGCCCAGCAGGACAAAAAACTGTGAGACAGCAACACCTCTTTGACAGCTGAACATCACAGGGAGGGCTGGCCAGGCCCCGCCGACAGCAGCCAAGGCGGAGTGCGCCGCCCTGACTTTCAGCCTGGCCAGGTGGCAACTGAGCACCTCATCCTACCACCGAGGTGGCATCTGAAAGGGCCAGGCAGGGAACTGGGACTCTTACCCCGGCCTGGTGGTAAAGAGCCCCCACTGCAGGGTCGGTGGAGATGGCAGGGGGAGCGTGGACTCACACCCCTCACCTGGCAGCAGCAGGCACCTCCCGCCCCTGCTGGGTGGTGTCACCAGAGCCGGGAAAGTCACCCCTCCACCCGCACCGTGGCACTGGTGGGGCCAGTGAGGAGCAGGAATGAGGCTCCCTCTCTCTTTTCCCTGCCAGGCAGCTCTCAGCAGGGGCCTTGGAGGGAGCTGGGTCTCGCACACCTGCTGAGCAGTGCTGAGGAACCCCCATGCAGGTGTCACGAGGAAGCCGGCTAAGACAGGAGGTTCCTTTCAGATCCAGAGTCTCAGCATATCAAACAATAGACATGCGGCAAGCCACCGTACCTGCTCCTGAAATATCTTGGCCAAGGGGGCACAGTCTGTCAGCTTAATGAACCTCACCACGTCGGTGACCGTCCACTCCAACGGGTTGCTCTCCAGAACCAGCCTCTCCTCCTCCTCTTGTTTCGTGTCCTGCAGAGAAAGGGTCGGAGGAGCTCAGCTGTGACACAGTCAGCAGCTGGGTCCTCTCCAGCACTCTCTAGGCTTCAGCCGCTCCTGGCCGGAAGCCACTGCCTCCCTTTGCTCCCTCAGTGGGCACCTGAAAAAGCTGCACACCCTCTCAGTCCCTGGGCAAGTTCTTAGCTCAGTGATGATGCCCCTGCAATGACTCATGTGCCTTCAGAGGGAAGAAGGCAGGCACGGACAGTCGCTCTTGCATCCCTAGTTCAGGAAACCTTGGGTCTGCTTCTGAACGAAGCACCTCTGATTAGAGAAAAGAGGAGAAATACAAGGGGCACGTCCAAGCAGACACGAGAGAGTGTCCCCCAGTGTTTCTGTAATGACGGCGCCAGTGGCCCTTTCTGCTGATCTCACACCACCCATGGGGCTAGGGGAGACCCGAAACACTGATTAAATATTGTCAAACATCACAGAGGTGTCCTGTGACACACGGCAGTCACAGGACATGCGGGGAAGGAATTTCTGGAAACCTAGAGTTCAAAGGAACCCAAGGACTGTGCCCACCTCCTGACAAGCACCCAGGTGGCACTAAAGCCATCCAGGGAAGAGGCACTGTCTCCGCCCTGGGCACTCCATTCCAATGCTGAAAGGCCTGTCTGCCCAGAGGTGAAGTGCCAGCCTTTGCTCCTGACTTGGGAACGAGCTGGAACAGCTGCTGCTGTTGGAGGTATTTTAAACGGGTTTCCCCACGTCGTGGCCCTGAGGTGTAACAGGTGTGCTTCTTCACACCCAGCGGGAAGCCCTCTGCCCCCACGCCCAGGAATCACCTCTGTCCCCTCGGGCTTGGCCGGCGGGCACTTCTCCCCTTCCTCTGCTGAGGAGACGGCCGGCGCCCTGCGGCCCCTTCGTGTCCTCTCTGCGGGCGGCCGGCGTGCGGGCTCTGAGCCGCTCCGCAGGGTGACGGCCCTCCGGGGCCGGGCCGAGGGCACCTCCGCCGACGAGGTGTCCGTCTGGTCATCCCGGAGCTCGGAGCCTGTCTCCTCACTGGCGGTGTCATCGTCCATGGCTTCGGCGTCCTCCTCTTCACTTTCCTGGGCCGAAGGAAAAGGCATTTTAGGGGCTGGTGGCAGGGGGGCTGGTAGCCGTGGCCTGGGCCCAGTGCAGACCACTTAGCAAGCCCTGTCCCAGGCAATCTCTGAAATGGAGCCAATGGTCCCACCCGCAGGCCCTGTGAGGCCCCTTCCCAGCCAAAGCAGCTGGACACGCTACATTTGTTTTCAGCAGGTAAGGAGGAGGGGGTTCTTCTTCAGTGTTTCTGACCATCCTGCCGCAATCTCCAGGGCCACCTCTGCTGTGAAGCAGCCATACTCGCCAGCCAGGGCCAGATGACAGCCACGGGCGGGCAGGCGCCCCGGGCGGAACATACCTCCCCCGAGCCCGCGGTGAGGTCCACGGCAGAAGACCTCCGTTTCTTCTGCACGAAAATGGATTTCCGTCGCTTCCTCCGCCTGGTGGGTTTGGGGTGTCCGCTGTCGGGGTTGCTTTCCCCGATGGGGGGCTTGGAGATCTTCTTTCTCTTTCCATAGTAATAGGCTGTAGGAAGGAAGATGAGAAACTTTTGGAGGCATAAACACACACAGACATGAACAGAGGGAGAGGAGAGAGGAAGGAGGGAGACGATTCTTTCATCTGATAACTCATGTGCCTTACAAAGTCATTCTGAGAAAACAGACCCACAGAAGGAGGGTCTTCTGCTGCTCAAAGCTTCAGGTCTGGAAGGTGTTCGGGCTGAACTTGGCCCCTCCCCAACGTTGAAGCCGAAACCCCCAAAGTGAGTGTATCTGGATGTCACTGACATTAATGAGGTCCTAAGAGTGGGGCTTGGTGTCTAGGAGAGACACCAAGGACCCAAGACCCAGAGGAGAGGCCCCATGAGGACACGGGGAGCAGGTGGCTGCCTGCAGGCCCAGGAAGGATCTCATCAGAAACCAAAGCTGCCGACACCCTGATCTTGGACTTCCAGCCTCCAGGACTGTGGGAGGTAAGTGTGTGCAGTGAAAGCCCCGGGTCTGTGGTATGTTGTTGTAGTAGCCAGAGCTGACTTCTGCAAAAGGTGAAAGAGACAAAGATGCCCACAGTTCCCACAGGAGTTTATCCCTGTCTGGACCCCAGACATTGCATACAGTGGTGGCAGTGACATCCATCGGATTGCTCTGACACCTGCTCCCAAGTCTGAATCTTGAGCAACTGGTCAATCAGCAAGCACCGGGTGAACATCTGCTGGCATGGTCCTGGCATGAGGGACTCCCCCAGCTCTTCGTCTGACCAAGACAAGTCGTGATCCTCAACACATGGGCCAAATTCACCAAGCACCTTTCCTCTTTTCAGAGTTCCTTCTCTATTACATCGTTGTGTGTACTTTATTCCCTTCTCATTTGGTGGGACTCACGTTACTTCTGAATTCTACAGCAGAGACACAGATGTCTATCTTAATTCAAAAATTATTTATTGAACTTCAGTAGCGATTAATGTTTTTGATAAATAAAATGTACCATCAACTAATGAAAACCACCACTAAGGATCCAGCATTCAATCACGACCCAGACGCTTACTCATTAACCAAAGGTTCAACTGTCCCACTATGGGACGCCCAGGAGCCACAAAATAACTGAATGCAGCCAAGGAACCTTTATCCACGAATGGGGTAGGCCAGAGGAAAATGGCAAATGCACAACCCCTGGTTTGCAGGGGCCCCTCTGCAGGGAGCATGATTTCAGTGCATTCTCACAGTGCTGGACTGCGGGCTTCGTCCTCCAGGTAAGTCACCTATCCTTTCTGCACCCCAATTTCCTTACTTACAAAATGAGATAATCAGGACTAACAAGCATAGGTTTCCTTCAGGCCTAAGGCCCTCTATGTCCCACCCCTTCCCCTGCATTTGATCACAGCACGGCATTTGGAAGCCTCACAGTAGCAGCCCTGTAACTCCCAGGAGGCACACCTGCTCCGGGAGCCCTGGCCTGTTCTCATCAACCTCTCAAAAGCAGCAGATGGCAGGAGAGCTTGGAACAAGGTCCCGTGTCCAGTTCTACAGGGACTGTGTTCCTCAGTGAGAAGGAATGAACTGCTGTGGACGAGCACTGCTTTGTGGCCGTCTCCAGGTACAGGGGCAAATGAGCAAGCCTCTGTCCCCACCCAAACCCCAAGCATGCATGACAGGGCTAGGGCAGGCTGGCTTCTTAGACGCCAGAGGCTGGGGATGAGAATTGGTTTTAGGGAATTTAGCCAAAGGTCAGTATGTGTTTGGAGCCTCAGAATGAGACTGGATGACCCTTGCTTTCCCAGTGCTCGATTCCACCAAAATATTGTTCTGGCCTCCTCCCACTGGAGCCTCAGTTCAGCCCGTAGTAACATCCATTATAAATTAACCCAAAGAATCTTGGGAGTTAGGAGTTTTATCATATGAGATCCAGAGACATCTCTGAGTTCATTCTGGCAGTGCTGAATGGGAGGTGTGGGGCCCTGCTCCTTCCCTGCCATGCCCAGTGTCCCGGAAGAACAGAGAAGCCCACCTGGCAGGTAAGCATTCACCATGCATGGCAAAGCCGAGCCCTCGGTCAGGCCTTTCTTACTCAGGAGCTGCTGTTTCCCAGTGAATCCCTCCCGTGGAAAAAGGTGCTGTGATGGAGAAACAAGCTCTTCTGGAACCAGGTGATGTGCTAGGCCGACACACCTGCGGGCCCTACCTGAGCGCCCCTGTGCACAGAATGACGGGGGCTCTGTGTGATCAGTGAGGACACAGCTGACCTCCATCAGAAGGCAGAGTGGCAAGCAGACTGTGTGTGTCTGTGTGTGTGTTGTGTGTGTGTGTAGAAACACACTGAGAGGTAATAAAATACAAGGAAAGTCACACTCTGAATAGCGTTTCAAGTACACTCAGATTCCTGGTTCCAGAACCCATGTTGACCAACATCACAAGTGACTGTGGCTCACAGAGCACTGGCCACACGGCCAGGCCCTTGTCACATCCCAGTTGGCTGGAACACGGCTGGCAGAGTCAACTTCCAGGTCACTCCCCCTTGCATTAGAGAGAACTGAGGGGAGATGCAGGAAACTCAGAACTGTGGGTCAGAGGGAGAGATCAGGGCGCAGGCACGGGAGGTGGAGGTGTCTGGGAGAGGCTACCACGGATGGAGATGGTCATCAGAAGGGAAGAAGGGCAGGGCTCAGGGGAAGCGGATGCCCAAGGCCAGAGATCCTCGAATGGGACTGGGGATGGAAGAGGCAAGAGCTGGAGGTAGGAAAGTGGCGACAGCTCTGAGTCCTGCATCCTGTGTCCTGGGAGAGAGGCAAAGCCAGCTGGCAGAAAAGAAAGTGATGGTGGCTTCTGAGTCCTCCATGGCTTTCCTGGGTAGGGGTGTTGAGGAAGGCGTCTAAACATGAGAAGCTGATTATGATGCGGATGTGGCCCCCTATCAGGAAGGGCAATGAAAGCAACATTACGCTATCCCAGAGTAAGGACTGGGTTACTGTTACTGTTACTGTGGTCAATTTTATTGTGCTCTCCTGGCATCCACTGAGCTGTAGAATCAATCAATCCACTGAAACTCATGACAGTACACACAGTTTCTTCTCTTCTTTTCCAAGGCCTACCAATGAAAATTCATCCTGTTTTAAATTGTCCCATCCCCTCCGTATGTCAGGCTAAAAACACATGTATTTGCTACAGCAAATCTTTAAAAATCCTTCCATAGCAATTCCTATGGAAGACTAGTCAAAAGGTTCAAAAAGAAACAAGCAAATGAAACAAAAACCAAATACCTTATAGCGTAGTTTAGGCCTCTGGGCCCATGCATTTCTTTTTTTTCATTATTTGTACTTACTGTATTTGGTTTTGGTATGAATGGAGCAGTTCTCTGGGCAGTTTTCAGATACCAGCACAGGACTAAACAAATTTGGACAGCACTCTAGCTTTGCACAGACTCGGCGGCAGAAATTTGCAACTTGGTCAGATGTCCGTACGATTTTGACCACAGCCCTGTACGTTTTGCCTCTGTATCTAGAAAACAAGGTGGGGGAAAAAGCGATGGTGAGACCAGATTATGATTCAGACCTATTCTGTACCACGTATTTCAAAGGTAGCAACTTCATTTTCTAATGACAAAGCATATGGTGCACAGTTATTTCTCGGAGAGATATTTATAAGAAATGCTCACTAGTGTGCTACAAATGTGTCATAACAGTGCTAAACCAGAATTCACTTCCATAAAGATCCCCCCATTTAGCACACCCTCATTTTGCTCTATACAACTTCATACCAAAGATGAGTGGTGCAGGGTACATACCTAACGGGCATGGCTCTCGAAATGAGGTTAGTGAAATCTAACAGGTATTTTCCTGTTGTTATCTTATTTCATTGCTGAAAAATGTGAGTGCATATGGGATCATGATTCTGCCTTGAAAACCATGCAAATTCAGAACACTGAAAGGATATCTTTGTCAAGATTGTGTGTATTGTTGAAATGGGGACGATTTCCATTATTCATAAATGGCATCTGTGCAGAATGGTGATAGGTAAGCGAGGTCACATTTAAATGGAGAGAAACACAAAAAAAGAAAAAAAGAAAAAAAAAACCATTAAAAATGCAGAGTGACTGTATGATTGGGACCTGGAAACCGAGTGAAGACCCCCAGCCTTGCAGACACTGGCAGCAAGTGACTTCAGTATAAACAGAACTGTGACGGCTCTCCGGTGGATGAGTGACAGTTAAAGGAAAAGGCTGCTGTACTCTCAAGTGTAAAGGAAGCAACGTGAAATGGTAATGCTGCTTGCCATACTCTGCCCATGAGGGTAACTGGCCACTCCTCTCCTCTAGGTTGGGATGGTGAAAGATTGCGCCAGGAACTAAAACTTGCTTCCACCTGCTCTCCAGTCCCCTCAGCAACCCCTCCATGGCTTCGGTTGCTTTCTCCGAAGCAGTAAATCGAATCCGTTCTGAACAAGCACAGCTTCACTGCAATTCCCCACAGACTCAAATCTTGATTGAGTGATAGGTAGTGGATGAAATCATACTGCACCAAGAATGCGCGCCAGAATCAAAAGTCCTTCATACTCATCTCTATTTCTTATTAGACTGAGGTCTTTGGAAAGCTATAGTCTATTTGTGTATTAGGAAAACTAAGAGGGATTTCTCCAGTTAAATCTCCCCCTCCCCCAAAAGTGGTAAATCTAACTGAGGGGCCTCACATAGGAGACCTTCATTCTTATTATGGATCGAACCATGTCCCTCCCAAATTCATATGTTGAAGCTATAACCCCCGATAGGACTGTAATTGAAGATGGGGCTTTCAATGAGGTGATTAAATCAAATGAGGTTATAAGGGTGGGGGCCTAATCCAATAGGAGTGGTGGCCTTATAAGAAGATGAAAAGGCTGGGTGTGGAGGTTCACCCTTGTAATATCAGCACTTTGGGAGGCCGATGCAGGACTGCTGGAGCCCAGGGGTTTAAGACCAGACTACGCAGCGTAATGAGATCCCCATCTCTACAAAAAATTTAAAAACCACCTGGGCATGGTGGGGCATTACTGGGGAGGTTGAGAAGGCTGAGGCAGGAGGATTCCTTGAGCACAGGAGGTCAAGGCTGCAATAAGCTATGATTGTACCACTGTACTCCAGCCTGGGTGACGCAGTAGGGCCCCGTCTCTTAAAAAAAAAGGAGGAGGAGGAGAAGGAGAAGGAGAAGAAGAGTCACCAGGGGTGTACATGTACAGAGACTAGACCATGTGAGGGCAGAGGGAGAAGGTGGCCATCCACAAGCCAAAAGAGAAGCTTAAGGAGAAACCAACCCTGGCACCTTCGTCTTGGACTTAGCCCTCCAGAGCACTGAGAGAATAAACATCATCGCAAAAGCCATGGGGCCTGTGGCTCTTTGCTGCACAGCCTGGGCTGACTGAGACGAGGCTTATTCCTCCAGTGGGGAGCGACAAGAACGGGGACCCCCGGACTGCCTATCTGCACCTCCCCACCACCCACACAGCAGCTTCTCCTGACCACGGATGCTGCCTGCTTGTAACTTTCCTTCTCAGTTCACATTTTCTAAGGATTCTCTGAGGTTCTCTTAAGCACTTTTCTCTGCTCTTAGTGGAAAGACTAATCTAGACCAAGGGGGTATGGAAGTTTTCCCAAAAACCTTTTCAACGCACTAGGAAAACGAGAGATCTGAAAATCCGAACGCCTTTTATAGTTATCCACAAGGAACTGATTTTATATATGGGAATCCAAAAACTTCAACAAACATTGCTGAAAGAGATGGCACTTTCTTGCCATCATATATAAATATCAAGCGCAATACTGCTTTCCTTAAACATAACTATTTACTGAAGAATAAAAATTAAGCTCCTCATATCCCTCCCACACCCACCCACACAACAAAGAATTTAGAGTGAGACACGCTTCTGGAACCTAGATATTGTCACTTGTTGTTCATCACTTTTAAGAAAAAAACTTTCTCCTGCCCCAAGAAAAACCACAGGTAATGAATTCGCCAACACAAAACTGGCAACCAGAGCTACAAAAAGCAGATTGGATGGGTTCTTGTTTTAAAATTAGGCACTACAGCCCTCATCCAAATATTTATGGGAATACGATATAAGTAATGCCTGGCTGAAAACACAAGCACTTGAAGGTAGGTTTCAATCACCTTTTGGCACATTTTTAAAACTATCATGGGTACAAAGTAATGGTCAGTTTCTCAGCTGGCAACAGATCATAGGTTTTTATTTCGTTCACGTATCACCAAGCTACTGAAATGTGAAATTTCAGCTTTTTAGGAATGTCTTTCTAAAGACTGGAAAAATACTTTTCCACTAATAAATCTTTTTTTTAAAGTATCAACGGCAAAAAAATTAAGAATTAAATTCCAACTTGTACTTTATATCTGCATATTCTACTAAATGTACTTCGTATTTATTCAGGGTCTATGTTTCATACCCTAGCCCCTGGGTGTTTCTTTTTCTTCAATTTCTCTAACGGGTCCAGCTTGACTTTCCATGTAGTGAGAACTAAAAAGTAATCTTCTGTAGATAAGATCATGCTCGAAATCCCACAGCCCCGAACGGCTGTTGGTTTTCCTAGGCCCTCCATTGACCCTATGTGTAGAGACTCCCCTCTCCGTGCCTTTGAAGAGCGACTCCAGGACCCACGTTGGGGCAGTTCTTGCTTATTGCTTTTGTTGCATTTTCAAAAAATAAAAATGAAAATTAAAAAAACAGCACAACTGGGAACACGGTATGTTCCTCGTGTTGTGGGAAATGGAGAGTGAAAATGGGATATGTAGAATAAAAATGCTTTACAGCTACATTTTCCCTTGCAGTTTTCTCCACTATGAGTTTGGTGGTCCTACAGCTTTGTTGGAAAGAGCTCACTATCAAGATTCTTAGAGTCCCTTAAAAAACAAAATAAAGAGACATAAGAATGCAGAAAGAAATGTGCAAGCCAGGTCAGATGTCAAACTGCAGAACGAGGCTCAAAGACGAGATGCTCATCAAACCTCCAGGTGACAAGGCACACACACGCGGTGCCACACTGGAGGGAGGGATGAAGGGAGCGGTTATCTGGGGGAAACAGAACCAGGGTGGCTTCATTTTTTCTTCCTAGTTTGGGATGATTTCGTGGAAGCAAGTGTTTCAGTAAAACCTTTCACAATAGGGAAAAGCCCATCTGAAGGTACGAAGATTTAAATTACAGCATTGTTTAAAAACAGCGGGCTCCTTTTCTCTTCCCTGCCCTTCCTGAACAATTCTGTTTAGAAGCCATGGCAGTGGGGGTAGAGGGGACTGAGTAAGGATGGGGCACAGGCTGGTGAGGTGGCAGATGACGTGCTGCCTGGACCCCTTCACTGGGGAGCTTGCTGCCCCAGCTGCTGGGAGGGAGCCTTCAGTTGTGGCCCTTTTATGTTTTTTGTTTGTTTTTTTCTTTTTTTGATGAGACAGGGTCTCGCTTTGTTGTCCAGGCCGGAGTGCAGTGCTGCAACAGTTCAGCTCACTCAACCTCCGCCTCCCTGGTTTCAGTGATTCTCCTGCCTTAACCTCCTGAGTCACTGGGACTACAGGCGCCCGCCATCATGCCTATAGTGGTCAGGTTTTTTCTTTTTTTTTAATTTTTTAGTAGAGATGTGGTTTTGCCATCTTGGCCAGGCTGGTCTTGAACTCCTGACCTCAAGTGATCTTCCTGCCTCAGTCTCTCAAAGTGCTGGGATTACAGTTTAAAGCCACTGTGCCCAGCCCCTTTTAGGGTTTTGCAAAAAGCTGCCTTGGCCCTGCCCTACCCGGGAGGGCCCCAACCAGGGACTGACTGTGGAGGAAGTAAAAAGGTCACTGGAGCCCAACTCCAGACAGCCATGAAGAGCCTTTAAGCCCAGAGGTGCTGTGGGTGCCTGCCTGGCCTCATTGTGGGATGATCTCTGTCTACACAATTCCACTGCCTTCCCCTCCCTTCCAAAGGCATTGGTCACAAGGGCCCTCCTTGATGAAACCCATCTTGGAGAAACCCACCAGGGAAAGGCATGGAAGTTGGGGCGGGACGCAGGGAGGAGGTTGTCGCATGTGGGGACAGCAGCAAGGTGCGTGAGGACACTGGAGTGATGCTGAGGCTTGATGAAATGAACAAATACGCCAAAGGTGGAGAGCACAGGCCAGGTTTCCACTGTCAGAGCCGGAGTTGCAAGTATAGGGAAGGAAAAGTCTAGGATGAACCCTGGCGTGCTGGACTGGAACTGGAACCTACGTTCCACCATGAATGCGAAGAAAAGGGTGAACACAACAGGCCCAAGCTTTTCTCCTTAGGAAAGCCTACTTATGGGTGGATCAAGGGGTCAAGAGATCGAGACCATCCTGGCCAACATGGTGAAACCCCATCTCTACTAAAAATACAAAAATTAGCTGGGTGTGGTGGCACACGCCTGTAGTCCCAGCTAGTCAGGAGACTGAGGGAGGAGAATCACTTGAACCTAGGAGGCAGATGTTGCAATGAGACGAAATTGCATCATTGCACTCCAGTC